ATCAGCCTTCCTAAATGATCAATAAAAGCTACATTTCAAAAAAGCAGCTGACTTCTTCAGTTTAAGTCTTTAGGTCCCTGGTGGTTATGTGAGGAGTTCCTCAGACAGCTCTCAGCACCTCCTGCTGCTGATTATGTACAGAGATCGATATCTGACGGTGGAGTTGTTGTCAGTTAACACCACCTCTGACCGCCCGAACACCTTCGATCCGCTCACTCAAAAGAAGAATGTGCAGGCACTGAATCTTTAATAAAACATCACCATGTTGCCTCTGTGACATCACGCCGCATGCATTCCTGCAAGTATTTATTCTGGCAAATATTTGCACTAAAGTAAAATAATGACTCTCATTTCTAACAGTTCAACAGCTCCTTTGCCTTCAGATCATTCGTTTTCACTATGTCACATAAATTAAAGATGAATGAGCACAAATGGACAAAAATCCTTATCGCGGTTTGTGGTCAGCTGGCTGAAACAGCGCTCGGCAACCACATCTTATCTTTCACAGGAAGCACCGGGGGTGCCCTGAGCTCCTGTTCAGGTTTCACAGTTGGCCGCCATAGACATGCTAATTGCTGCAGTTGCTTCTAGTTTGCATGGAAGATACTGAATTATCTGCAAACCCTCACTAACTACTTCCTGAACTGTAGTGAAACACAAAGTGCAACAACCCAGAAATGCACCTTCCCTGTAAAGGTTTTGACTTTTGTGTTTTGCATTTTTCTCATTTTTACAGCTAGAAATTAGCGAGCATTTCCAGACATGTGCGCATCTTCCTTCCAAACAGCGACTGGGGCGACGTGTCGCGACCTAAGCAATCGCAGGAAGGTCCATACAGGTAGCACCGTGTACCGTAAACCTCCAACACAGTGACTCTGTGGGGCCTTGTTCACGCCACCCTACAGCACCACAATGGCAAAATGGTGGACAGGTTAATGGTCATGTGACTGCAAACCCTGAATAGTGCTAGCTTGAAAGAAAGAACTATAAATACTTTCTTAAGCTTTTATTATAACAACATTTAATAAATGACACAAAAAAGTTACCACTGATTTTTTTTTAACCTAAATCAATGGGGGGGGGGGCACTACAAATAATATTTCATGATAAGTTTCAACCACTGGCAGAAGTCAACTTACATAATATTTATTACAATTGCGTAATTGTAGAATAATACAACATTTTTATGTGAAATTAATGGATATAAAATTATTTTACAGTAACACAATCACAGGGAAGGTGCTCCTGCACTCCTCCTGTACTTCACTAAGTGAGTTTTCCTGATTACCTTGATTTACTTTACTGTACTTCAGCTGTAACTGAGCACCTCTTTAAATGATCCCTCAGCACATGTCTACACAGATGTTTCCAGATGTGTTGCATGCGGCTGGCCCGCAGTGTTCGAGCTGTTTGGTCATCCAGCTGCTGATGAACTGCGAGCAGAGGCGAGGCCCGACTAGCAACTTGCTGAGCCAGTATACACGATTAGCCTGAAACTGGGTCGTCGTGTTAACAACAAAGACACGATGGTTTGTCCGCCTCCACGAGCCCAGTACACGGCTTTAATACTACGGGTTTAAAAATTAACGTTAACAGGAGCGGACATCAACATTTACACCTGTATGTCCCCGTTAATGGATCGCTGGCTCCTCTATGGACAAAAGCCTGGAGGACAGGCCCGGCTCCCCGCAGGGCCCGTTTACCAGCGACACCTTAGAAACTTTAAAGCCCACATTAACTCCCATACGGAAGAATAAACAGCTAGAGTTTTATAACATAATAATAACAACTCATAACTATTTTTCTTCACTAATCAGAACGTCGCCTCCATTCTTACCCAAAGAGTGGTCTTCTTTGAACATCCATTTCATGTTTGCCGTTTCCGGGCTCCTCTCGTCGGTGCAGCGGGCTGTAAACGCGACTCACGGTTAAATTTGGGGCTCAACAATCTTCCCGCTCGCTGTCCTCTCAGTTTTAATCACAAACGAACACACGGCTCGGCACCTCCCAGCGATCCAGCTACACAACAACAACAACAACAGCAACAATCCTCTTCTTGACGATCAGCCTGCTGAGACCCGCCCAGCCCGTGACGTCACCAAGGCCCCTACCATTCCGCCATGTAAAGGGGGGAGAGAAAGACGGAAACAGCGACTCTTTCTCTCTGTAAACGTAATAATAACGAACAAGCAATGGCGAAATGCATCATAACTAGGCTAATAACCACATCAGACCTAAGTAAGATTAAATGTTTTAATTTCACTCTATGCATAAGCCGATATTAACATCTCACATGGTAGTTTATGCACTGTTCCCCCCGTAGTGATGCGCAGTCATACCTCCTCCTCCTCGCTACAACATAAACACAACCAGCATTACAGCGTTGTCCCCACAGACATGCGCAGTTTGAATCCCTTAAATGCAACCATTACTTTGCTGAGTATTAATTGTGATTGTGTTACTTTGCAAATGCTGAGTATTAAGAATGTTTTATGATGTCGTGGCAGGGCTAAGACTTCTACAACAATTAATTGATATTAAGATATAAATGAATAAATATCTATCTTCCTGTTTTGCTTTGAAAGGAGAGATCCAGAGCACAGCCTCCAACTACAAACCCATGGCCTTTGTAATTCTGCTTCTGGAGGTGTTGCAATCAGAAATGTGTTGCTTTTTTTCTCTTCTGGTTTTATTCGAGTAACAGAACTAATCTGTCCTGAACCTTACATAACAGGGGGGTCAAACTCATTTTACATCATGGACATACAGAAAAAGCTCTGGTAGCTTTTTGCCAAGACTGTCCTGAATTTTGGACTAACTAAAAGTTTATATTTAAAGAAGAAAATAATTGAAATTTATTTTTAAATTTTTTTTTTCTGTTTTTCCATCTATTACTGGCTGTGGGCTAGGTCTTTGTCAGTAAAATAATTTGTAAAAATCTGAAAATACAAATAAAAGCTCAATAACTTGTGCCCTGGGTATGGAGAATTTTCTATATCCATTCAGCCCACAGACTTTATGTTTGACATTCCTGTTTTAGAGTTTTACAAAATAAATAAAAACCAAAGGCATGAATGCATCTGGGATTTTTAAAAACCTTTCCAAAAGCTGACGCACTAAAACAATATTTTTAAAAAGCTGGCATTAAGTAATTTAGTTGTATAAAAGCAGGTGGGTGCAACTTAAAATGTTACGTTTAATGAAATCTGGTGAAATAAACTTTATTTGATTAGGATACATTCACTTTACATCAAGCATAATTTCTTTGATGATTTTTTGAATACATAAAACTTTTATTTCATACATTTCAGTTACACTTTCATCAAATGTATTGCTTCATGTTTATGAAGACAGAGAATTGTTTTTAGAGTAAAAGCTTTTCTGTGTTCAGATATTCTGATATA